CACTGCTAGGTCTGGGAACAAAAACCCATACGGGTTTTTCAAAAACCCTATCGGGTTTATGGGTTTTTAACCCAATTTAATACCGAAATCAGGTTGAACCAAACCCCATCTTCCCCAACTTTCAAACTAATCTTCCCCAAGACCCATAGCCACGAAATTCCCTCTTCCAAATCATCCCAACCCATCACAAAAAAATCTCCTCATCTCCGTCATCATCCTCACATCATCAAAACCCAATATCCCTCCCCCAATCTCTAAACTTGAAAAACTAGCCCAAACCTTCTCAAAATCCCAATTTTTCAAGAACAAAAATACCCATGACTACCAAGGCGGGGATGAAAGCAAGGAGCACTAGGGACAATGCTCGAAGTAAGTAGGGGGGAGTCACTCATTTGGTATATACTCATTTTTACCTTGTAACTTGCATTATTTTCTTTAAAAAAACAAAAATAACAAAAAAAGAGAATAAATAAATAAAAGAAAAATGCTAGTTAGGTTGAAAACCCAAAAATTGGGCAATCTAAGCAAAAGTGGCTAAAATGAGTGAGTTGGGAGAAAACGGAAAATAAAAAGAGAGGCTATGATGAAAACCTGAAAAAGCTCCTAGGCAGAATGAGAGAATGAGAGGAAATTTTATCTGAGATTATATAAAAACTCATTTTATTTGGGAGTTTTTGGGATACAATCAATGAAAAGAACATTTGTTGTTGAAGATCATGAAGACCCTCTTTTCTTTGTATTTTGAGGATGGATGAACAAACTGAACGTTTTATTCCATTGAAATTATCTGTTCAATGGATTGTGAGCTGTTGTGTGGACTTTTACTCGAGGACGAGTAAAGAGCTAAGTAGGGGGGAGTTTGATAGTATAAAATTGTTATTGTTTATGTTTGTAATTTTAACTAGTTTTATTTGTTTTTGTTTGGGAAATTACACACTTTTGGTGTAATACTTTATTTTTTCTAGTTACTTGTAATTTGTATAGATTAGGGATTTTCTGAGCTTAAACTAGGTAAAGATCATCAAAAGGATGCTGGAAAGGTCAAGGAAAGTGCAAGGGAACAAAAGAAAGTGAAAATTTGGGAAAATAGTCAAAAACCCGACCGGGTTTTCCAAAAACCCGATCGGGTTTGACTTGACCCGAAGATCAAATTTGATTTGGAGGCAATTAAACGTGCAGTGCGAAGATTTGGCAAAGATTTGTCTTTAACCTGATCGGGTAAATCAAAAACCCGATCGGGTAGATGTAACTAATGAAGATTTTGGGCAATTACTCAGGAAACCCGATCGGGTTTCTGAAAAACCCGGTCGGGTAAATGACCCTGCCACCTCCAAACACCTATAAATACACCCTCTTTCCTTCTCATTTGATTACCAATTCACAGATACTCTTAAGCTCAGTTTAGAATAACATTTCTTTATATTTTTCTAGCATGTTTAGTCTCCAAATGAGGAGCTAAACTTCCATTTCTTGGTGTTGCTCTTGAAGCTTGTTGATTATTAAAGCTGTGAGTGATTTTCTTAACGTCTTCCCTTGAATATTAACTATTAGTTCTTTCCTCAATACTATCTCTATATTAATGTTGGGAAGTGTTGCTAAGATGACAATTAGTTAACATCTTGACATTAGTTAGAGTAGTGTTTTCTTCCTCTATATTAATGTTGGGGAGTGTTGCTAAGATTACAATTAGTTAACATCTTGATATTAATTATAGTAGGATTCATCTCCTTTAATAATATTCTTCTTTGAATATAAATTAATTCCTATTCATATTTCATATTAATATTTTGAACATTACTTAAAGGATCAACTAGTTTTGTTTCATGTATTAATTATTACTAGAAACAATCGACGAACCGATGGTTAATCGTTGATGGTTTCACAAGTAAGTAACTTCGGTTTATTAATGCACAGTCGTGGTTAATAAATTTAAGAGGGATTAATTTTGTTGGTTAAACCAAAACCGTTGTGTTGAGGTTATCAATCTCAATTGATTTCGTCAAGGAGTTAGAAAGATTAAATGCTACTATTAAATCGGTATAAAGCGTTGTTCTATATTTGATTAATAGTAAGGGTTATTAATGAACGGTCGTTGTTAATAACTACCCTCAATGAATTAGATATACTCCTCGATTGAGTATTCGAGAGGGGATAAGTTATAGACATAACAAGGATCGACTAAATATATCAACAAGTGGAAAGTAGCAAAGCCAAGTTCTTTTTATCTTTGAATTAAATCACATATAAGTTGTTCATTTTAGTTTTTAATTAAATTAAATCATTCAACCTCAAAACCCCCTTTAATTACTAGTTCATAAAAAGAGAATTATTCCTTTCCCCGTGGATACGAACTCTACTACGCTATACTACGTATAAGTGTTAGTATTGAATTTTTTTTGACGCACTACGACAAAGTGCTCGTCACTTGTGTCTTCTTTTATTAGTCGTATTGCGTCCCATTTTGCTATGAAGGATCTGTGTGATCTCCATTATTTCTTGGGGGTCCAAGATGTTAGAAACTCTAAAGGTGTTTTTCTGTCTCAGCAAAAATATGTGTGTGATCTTCTTCTTCGTTTTCACTTACACACTCTCAAGTCTGTTCGTACACCACTTACCACTCGCTCAACTCTCCCCCTCACAGATGGCGAACTCATAGCTGATGCTAGTGAGTATCGTAGTATGGTAGGTACATTACAGTGTTTAACTTTGACAAGAGCTGATATTACTTATGCAGTTCATTTAGTGTCTCAGTTCATTCATGCTCCCCGCACTACTCACATGCTTGCCGTGAAGTGCAATTTCCGTTATTTACAGGGCACTATTGATCATGGATTATGGTTTCAGGCTTCTGCTCATTCCATTCATATTTTGGCGTATTCTGATGCTGATTGGGCATGATGTCTAGATAGTTCTCGCTCTACTACATGATTTGTAATTTTCTTGGGTCCTAATCTTGTGTCCTGGAAGTCCAAGAAACAGTCAACCGTTTCTAAGTCATCTACGGAGGCAGAATATAGAGGTATTGCTTATACAGTGCAGGATACCCTACACATCCGCGCGGTCCTCTTTGAGCTCGGCCTGCCTGTTCGTGCTCCCATCCAACTATTTTGTGATAATATATCTTCCTCATATCTAACATCTAATCCGGTTCAGCATGCTCGAAGCAAGCACATTCATATTAAGTATCATTTTGTACGTGAGAGTTGCTCATGGTCATCTGGTTGTACAGTATTTTCCTACACATCTCCAACTAGCGGATATATTTACTAAAAGTTTATCTGGTCAACAATTTCATTTTTTCAAAGACAACTTGCACGTTGTATCTCACGCACAGCTTGAGGGGATGTAATAGTATATATTAATTAGGAATATTTCTGTATTTTGCCAGCTGCTATTTTATTATAAATATACCTGTCAGGGTTCCTATCGGAGCACCCTTTCCCATTATTCTCACAAGTATGAGAAAAAAAAGTCGTTCGACACTCTGTCAAAAAAAGTCCCCACACACTCAGCTCTTTGCTATAAGCATATGAATGTTTATTACTTCCCTAGTGCACACTACAAACTAGCAGACTGTATTTGTAGTCTTGAATTCTTGCAGGTTGCAACTTAAGAAACAGACTTGAGAATATCATAAAAATATATAAACTACAACCAGATACCATATTGCACACCTATAGAAAAGGTACTGCATAAAAAACAAACTGCATTGTAGTTTCAAATCATAGCAAATCAAATAATGAAAATTCAATTTTGCAAAAAACGAAACATACTGCTATTAACTTTAAAAAGATACTATGAACGTATCTTGGGTTTCCCTAATTTAGTTCGTAAAATAAATGGGCCACCGGTTACAAGCCCTAAAAATGGAAGTATTTTTTTGGGAAAAGTAATTTAACGGGCAACCGGTCCGGACCGGGATTTTTCTGGGTTTGACCCGGACCGGACCGGAACCCGGAATCTTAATATTCTAAAGGCCGAAACCCGGACCGGTTAATACTGGTCCGGTCCGGTCTGGTCCAATCCGGTCCGGTTCGGGTCTAAATTACGGTCCGACCCAGTTAATGAACACCCCTACTCATGGTCATCTGGTTGTACAGTATTTTCCTACACATCTCCAACTAGCGGATATATTAACTAAAAGTTTATCTAGTCAGCAATTTCATTTTTTCAAAGACAACTTGCACGTTGTATCTCACGCACAGCTTGAGGGGATGTAAAGTATACTTCCTCCGTTCTTAAATAAATGCAACGGTCAACATTTCACACTTGGCGCTACACAACTTTGACCATTAATATAAATGATTTTGTATTAGTAAAAAATTAAAAAAATTAGATTTTGAAAATTTACAATGAGACAAGTTTAACAATTTTTTTTTCCATAAAATACTATTATTAAATTAATAAATAAAACGTAGTCAAAGTAGAACATGTGAATAGTGTAAAAGTAAAAGTGTTGCATTTATTTAAGAACGGAGGTAATATATTAATTAGGGATATTTCTGTATTTTGCCAGCTGCTATTTTATTATAAATATACCTGTCAGGGCTCCTATCGGAGCACTCTTTCCCATTATTCTCATAACTATGAGAAAAAAAAGTCGTTCGACACTCTGTCAAAAAAAGTCCCCACACACTCAGCTCTTTGCTTAGGACCCATTTTCAAAATTCAGTATATATATACTACGTATTATTTAATCAAAGTTCAGTGGTCATAATTTACATACGGTTTTGATTATATATAATTGTTGATATAGTCTATCACTATACTAACAAATACTCGATCTGTATAATAAGGCGTGAGTATTTATATGGTAATAATCAACGGAAGAGATTGACCGTAAGTATAGTTGTGCTATGGCAACGGTAATTGCTTGTAGTGTGTATCTGCTATTATAAAAACATATTTAAGCCTAGCTTGTTAAACTATCGCACATAGAACATATAAATTGCAAGTACTCATATGTATGGAAACTGAATTAGAAATGAGCACGTACGTACATTAGCATTCATATGTGTGGTGGCATTTGGAATTTCTGGGAACCTAGAATTTGATGAGATGAGTTTTGGACGAAGATGGCTATGCCACATTTACTACTATTGAAAGTTTCCCAGAGTGAGAAATGGATCGTTCTGTTCATCGTCTTCTTCCCATTCTCTGCCGCAACATCCCTGACCCTCTCCAATCTCCTCACAACATAGTCGTTGGCGAGGACGACTGTGTTTCTATTCTGGCCCTCCTCACATCGCCTCACTAAACCGCACTCGAATAGAGCGACCATGATGATGGTGTCGTCGCCCTCGCCTTCACCCTTCTTTATACTTCTGGACAATGACACCTGCAACGTCTCTGCTCTTGGCCTCATGAACGTTGCCTGTTCATCACAAATAATAGGATCACATATACTAGTATTTTTCTTCTTAAATAGGACTATAAAGGTACTTTTACTAGGTTCGCTTCTCGTTAAAATTTGATAGAACCGTATAAAAATCGTAAGCGTTAAATTCGATTCGGTTCTAGTTAAAAATGTAGTTGTTAAATTCGGTTCGGTTCTTACCTTTTTTCGGTTCCTTATAAAAATTTATTATCCTCCTAAAATGAACACATTTTACCTTCAGTTACATAAAAAATTCAAATTTTAAATCATGAAATTATGGCCATGACATTATGCATGCATGATATCTCAATGTTCAAATATAAAAGAAAAATGCAAGTGCAACATTCAATTTAAACATAACAAAAATCTCGGTTTAAAATATGCATCAACTGTCAAGCAAAAAGGTTCAATAGCTCCAAGTACACATCCAATAACAGGTAGTTCAACCCAAAAATAATATTTTTCTACTAGTAATGCACTAATGCACAATAAGTAAAAAGTACGTAGTAATAAACAACGTAATCAACAGAATATTAATTCCTTTTTTAGGTGAACTTTAATAACAAATACAATTACAAACAAACAATAAATATAAAAGTGGACTAAAGTATAAAAATAATAACTACTCGGATTGGTCTGGTCCACAATATATAAGGTATATTATGCAAAACAAATATTTTTGACAAGAATTTTCTACCCGGAACGCCGTATGATCACATCCATTTGAGGTGCTTTCGTGTAGAATTTTTTGATAAAATTTTGTGAGCATTTTCTAAATGAAACATAGATTATATATGCAAAATTTTGGCTTAAAATTTAATTGGTAAGTGAGTGAAATAAAATATTGAAAACATTGTGTTTTTTTATATATTTTGGCGTAATACTTTTCAATAATTTATTTAATTGACTTCCCGGTTTCACCTTAAGCTCAAATTTGGTGTACATAATCATTATTTCATGAACAACAAGCTCACAAAATTTCATCAAAAATATCCACTTAGAAGCACCTCAAATGAAGATTAGTCATGCAATGTATAAGAAGTTCGGTTCTTGGCCAGGAACCGGAACCGAACTGGAACCGAATCGGAACCGAACCGATGAAATACTATAGGAACCGAACCGAAAAAAGCTGAAATCTAAAACTATAGGAACCGAACCGAACCGGAAATTTCGGTTCGGTTCGGATCGGTTTTTCCGGTTTTATGGTTCCAAGTCCGAGCCATAACTTTTACCTAGAGCCAACGGTCAACGGATCGGGACAAAAGTGCTCCAATCCTATAAGGGTACACTGATAAAGTATATGGGTCCAGACCCATGACCCACATACTCAGAAGACTAAGAGGAAGCACAACTGTCACCCAGAAGGTCCTCTGTCGGCCTGTTCTGCCATCGGCCAAAGAGGCTTCGCAGAGACAGATGTTATACTTAGCCAAAATGTTGCATCCAGCCCATTAGAGGTCTCATATCGTAAATAGGGCCTCCCAAAACCAAGACTTGGGAATCCGGCCCATATTTTCCCTATAAATAACACATATTTTTTCAATATATTTACCACAGTTCTCTCTCTAGCTCTCGCTTCTCTCTGGACTTACAGGTCTCTATCAAGTACTTGGTCCAATTACAAAGAAAAAGTTTTACGTAGTATTTATGAAATTTTAGACTATTCGATGATATTTTTGAAAAATGAACAAGTTTTATTCCAATTTGGACATTCTCAAATCTCAATTCATTGTGCTTTATTAATTATTTTAGGTACCCGGAAAGAAAGAGGTGGGAATCTAGGAACAGAGTTGATGGCGGTGAAGACGGCGTGTTGATCATTGGCAAGACATTGGGCGCGGCCATGGACGACGAGGTGGGGCGTGAAAATGGTGTCCAGCTGGAAGGCCTCCACGTACGTCTTTTGCCTCACGGTCCATTGGCTCGACCCGAATGGGTCCTTCCACCCCATGTGATCCCAATAGTCCACGTGGAAAGCCAGCAAGATGAGCGGCGGCAGCTCCCCCTCGAAGTCTCCCCTCCCCAACCGCGAAAACAGAAGCTCCGCCTCGTGGGAGGTGGCGCAGCCCTGCGACGAGAAGAGTTCCACCACCACCGGCCCTTCACTTTCCGCCTCCTCCTCTTCCTCATCCATCTTCAGTTCCGTGGCGTTGTCCTGATGGGCCACCGCTGAGGATGCGCGCTTGCGGAAGCAGGAGAAGAGACACGGCGCCATTGCATGCGCTCGTTCCAGCTTCCCGGCCGGCCAAATCGGATGATAATCGATGAATTTAGTCTGGAGAATGAACGGTACACTAACTATTCGGGCACGGCGAGGAGAGAAACACGCTCAAATAATCAATCAACTTTTTTGTGCCTAGCTACTCTCTCTATTTACACCAAACAAACTAAAAAAGAATAAGTAATTTACACAAATACCGAGTACGGTTTTACCGATCTTTATAAAATTTTGGATATACTACCTTCGTCCCTTAAAACTTTGCCAAAGTTGACCGGCACGGAGAATAATAAAGTAAAAACTGTGTGGTTGAGATTTGTGCAGAGGAGAGAGAAATAACAGAAACCAAAAAATAATTGATTAAAAAGGAAAATGACAAGGTTTTTTGGGACGTTCCAAAATGGAAAGATGACAAAGTTTTAAGGGACGGAGGGAGTATTTTATTATTTTTAAGACAAAATTAGTTATCCTACCCGTGCGTTGCGGGAGTGAAAAATCTACACATGGTTTAAATGAAGTTATATAAAAACCAAAAGTAATTTAATTTGATAGCGATCCAACAAACTAAAATCCATAAATAAAGTTCCAAATAAGATGTCACTTTAAAATCAATAGTAAAATTTAAAATTAAAACATTATACTGTGACACCCATGTAAGTCCACATAGCTATTAAGCAAACTTATAAATTATTACTACATATAATATTATGTGCATACAATATTCAACAAATATTTGATTGATCATTCATCTTCATCACATATCAGTGATATCACAATGTTCAACTCTGTTATACTACCAATGTGTACAAATGGAACGGCAGAGAGTAATGGCAAATTTTTTTAACAATTTTACCTGCCTCTTAGTAATGATCATTCCATAGCTATCTATGTATTGAACTATCTACTCTAAAAGGTGGACGACAGCCCAACATGTGATGATGTTAAAATTAGTGCAAGGGCATACAACTATTCATCAAGATTTTCTCTTTGCATGATTTGAGTCTCAATTATATGAGTTGCAATATGGTCGATCACCACAACTCATTTACCACGTACTCCACACCCCAAAAGGATGGTTTATGTTCATCATAAGCAATATCACATGCACCTTTACTTGGTAAATTGTAACATTTAGTGTCATTAAAGTTTATAAGGAGAGTTTATCTTGTGTAAGAGGTCACTTTATGAGCTCGATGAAGAAGCTAAGTTTGAGTTAGATAAGTCTTTAACTCTGAATCTATCTGGCACAACATGTAATTGTTGAACTCATTAACCTCATATATGGTCGAAACAATAATCGCTCTCAAATAAAGATTTATGTATAATTGTGTCGCTCTGAGCTAAGGAGTCAAGAAATAGCTTGAAAAATAGATTTAGCATGACCATTGGAGCAATCATATCATAAGGTGAACCAATTAATGGGTTTCCATCTTGATTTTCAACAAAAACACCATCACCAATTTGTAAATTCAATGTACAACATATTGAATACTTGGTGCATCCAGCTCATCGACAATCCTTCCAAGCCTCACGTACATACTTAGCCTAACTAAATTACAGCATGACCACAAAAATGAATATTAAGATATGTGTGCACTATATCGTGCCCGTTTGGTAATACTAAAATTGACTGAATATGCTGAATCTACTAAAAGTTATGAAATTCTAACTAAAGTGACTGAATTGACTAATTTTGTTAAGTTATGAAAAATATATATTTAAATTATATTTTTTTAACAAAATAAAGAAAAATTTATATTAAAAATAGCTAAAATGATTCTATACAATAATTTCAGCCAATTTAGCTTGAAAAATAACCCTAACCTTGCTTATTTTGAGTATCATACTTTCTGTCTCATTGGATTTTGCCAACTTTCCTTTTTTGTCCCAAAAAACTTTGTTACTTTCCTATTGAAGCAACTAATTTGTGGTTCTCCATATTTTTCTCTCCTCTGCACAAATTTCAACCACACAATTTTTACTTACCAAAGTCCACTGAGAGAGAGGTAGTACAATTTAGTACGAAATCAAAATATTCGTGTTTAGTAAAAATGTTGACCGGTGAGAAAACTCATGTATAATGAAAAAGATATGAACCTTTTTCTCTTCACACCATTAGTAAGGTGAAAAGTCCTAGGCCAAGAAGACTACAAACTTTATTTCCCTTAACTCCTTACGTCGTTATTTTGTTTTAAAAATAAGCTCAGGGAAGGAAGAATTAAAGAGAAGTAAAACGTATTTGCTTATCTTCACCAAAGTTGCTGAAAATGTCCTTTTCCATTCCCTGTTGCACTTTCCAGTTTCCAGCACCAAAGTCTACAACCAAAATTGCGCGGCTTAACACTAAACAATGACATTATTGGGTTCCATACTTCCATCTATATGCTTTTTGTCAAGATGAGAAAGTTTTATACACAAATAAAATGTAATCTAAACCATCAGGAGTTTTGTGTAATATGAGGTATGCTAGAAAGATAAATACAAACAAATAGTCAAATAGAAAAAATGTGAAAATAACATAACCTTTGGACAAACAAATCTGCAGTTTTTTATGCCAAATGTATCTGGATCCTTTTTTACCATCCAAAACTACATATACATTTTTATGCCTACAACTAAAAATTTAGAGACTTCGAATTTCGGAAGAAAATAGCTTTATTCAATCATATGAAGAGCAAGTTGTAATATACTAAAAAGAAGTGCACCCATTCAATCAAAAGGAATTGTAACAATATCATACCAAGACGATGGGATAAAGTGAAGTCAATTAAGTAGTAAGTTTTTGTCTATACCCTCAATTTATCATCAAACAAATAAACAATCAAGTAGGATTTGATTACAAAATGGAAAAAGTAAAATAGAGGAAATATGATATAACGTAAATAGTTCCAACTAATCTAAAGAAACATAAAAATTACAATGCTAATTAGTTTTTGGAGCCTTTTAGAGATATGACTGAGATTAGTATTGCCATGAAATATGAAGGTAAGTAATTTTGGTATAGCATTTGGAAGGCAACAATGCAGAAGGTGCAATTGCTTTATTCGTTATTTGGATTCTTTACTGTGAGTCTGCGAGCTTCAATTTCTCCATTGGAGAAGAAGGAGCAAAAGTCCGGCCGAAGGCGTATTTTAGTGAGTAGTAAAGGGAGAAATCCTAATATACATAACCAACGCACAAGGTACCATAAGTTCATTCGAAAATGTGTAGAAATAGAAAATTTATTAACACACACCTCTGTTGAAAAAAACACATTCTACTAAGCATTCGTGTTCAGGTTATAATTAAGACGTCAGGCCCTAATAATATACATATGAGAGAGAAAATATGTTTGACATTAAAAGATAATTAAAATTTAAAAGGCTTGATAATATCACAATAGAAAGGAATAAAAGGAACTTTTGATTCAAATACAGTGGGGTCAATATATCCACTAAACATACATTCTTAAATAGGTATGTTTATGTTTCTGATATTGCACTCCAGTCTGAGCATTATTAGTTTTAGGGTCAATTAGTTAAAAAATGGCTGGAATATTTTTGACTTATATTTCTTCATTGAAATTTAACATATTTCAACCATTCAGATTTTGGGAATCTTAGTTTAAGATTTGTCTATGCATAAAAATCAAGTTAAGACCAATGTCATTAAGTTTAGCAAACTTCTGGCTGCCGGGCTAATGATTTTTTGAGACTCCCCGAGTCCTCTTTCCCCTTAAGATAGTAGATTAAAAAATGAAGCTGTTAAAATACAAAAGTGCATCTTTGTCACTTGCCAAAAAATCCACATTTTCATTCAAGAAGCATTATTATTTTTAGGGTCAAATAGTTAAAACTTTACCTGGATAATCTCACAGCATTCCTTTGAGTACAATTCAAGCTACAAAGTTAACTACACATAAGTAAGGTCAAATAGTTAATACCTTTATTTAGTTCCAAGCTATTAGTACAAAAGAATTTGTCAAACCCAGGTAAAACCAAAGCAATACTTAAACTAATACACCTTATGTTGGAACAATTAAAAGTAATGGTCAACAACTAACTATAACAGATTTGTAAAACTATTCATTCTTGTCTCTAACAATATAAAGAGTGTTGTTGTGTATGTTCTCTATTTTAAATCTGCTGTGTAGTTCTTGGAGTGGTTAGTTGTTAAACAAAGCCAAAACACGTCAAATCATCTAGATATATAAGATATTCAAGATGTACATAGTCAATCTTAGATTATAAAAACAAAGAAGGATCACCTAAGCATTTTATCAAACATTACCCATGCAGAATACGAAGTATAAAACACACAATTGCAAGTGCAAATAGAGTTAATTTGTAAAGTTACCGTGCTTAAAAAGATACATAAGTTCAGTCAATCCATGTGAAAAGATTCAGGAAATAATAAGAAGTAGGTTATGGATGACAAAACTAAAATCTACAAAGTACCTAGAGAAGCTTGGTCAGGGGTAGTCTTCTAACCAGGTTAGTGGCATAAATCCAAAGCTGACAGCTTATTCAGATTCAGATTGGTCTGGAGACATGATTGAAAGGAGGAGTACTATGGGTTATGTTTTTATGCTTTCTGAATCATCCATGTCATGGTGTTCTAAGAAACAGAAAGTCATAGCCCTGTCTACTTGTGAAGCTGAATACATCTCAGCTTGTCATGCTGCTTGTCAAGCTTTGTGGTTAAGTTCTTTGTAGAAGAACTGAAGATTGATATTGGCAGAAGTGTTGAGTTGTATGTGGATAACAAATCTGCCATAAACTTGGCAAAAAATCCAGTTGCTCATGGAAGGAGCAAACATATTGAAACAAAGTTTCATTTTCTGAGAGATCAAGTTAGCAAAGGGAATATCATTCTGAAGCATTGCAAGACTGATGTTCAGATTGTTGACATACTGACTAAATCCTTGAGAAGTGACAGATTCAAGGAGCTTAGAAGACTTATGAATGTTGTTTGCTTGTAACTTTTGAATTACGAGGGAGTGTTAGTAATAATTCAAAAGTTTGTTAGTCAGTTTGTTAATCAGATCAGTTAGTCAGTTAATATCTCTATTACATATACTTGTATCCCTTCTACAGTTTTTTTGCTTCATACGGAAATCCGGAATAATACAG